ACTGGGTTCAAAGTTGGAAGACTTAGGGTTGAATATCAGGAATGCTACTTATGAAACTGGGCATCTAACCTTAATTTCCTTATGTGAGAATGTTGTCAGACCAAATGAGCCTTTCAAGCTTTAAATCTTACCCTAGCAAAGAAATGGACAAAACTCATTGAAACACTTTAATTTTGATGAAGTAGCCAATAATTCTGCAGGCATTAAAACAAGAAAAGCCTGTATGATTACATACTAGTAATTCACAATTGTGTAATTCAATACTTAAGTGCATCTGAAGTTTCATCTATGTAAGACTTCCTGCCCGGGCGCTGATTGTAACCCACCCTAATTTTGTTACTATCTTCTCTGTGATCCTATAAACCCTCCCCAAAGGGTCCACTCATACTGTCAGAAGTCTTCCTCTACATCTTTTGGTCTGATTTGAGCACCATGTCCATCTATTTGTTATCCCTTGATCTTACTATGTGACCAGCTACCTCTTTTTCTGGTCATTCATTTCTCAGATATTTTTGACTTGATTTTGGTGTGTCAGTGATCATTGGCATTTCACTACAGCTTATGTATTCCCAGTCTACATCCTTCCATTTTCCATTGAGTGACCTTAATTTTGGGGGTGGATAGAATTCTAAGACTCAGCCAGAGAGCATCATTGGATGAAAATAAATTTTTAAGAGATGAGTTTTAGTTTCAGGGAGAAACATGAGGCCACTGAAAACACTGCTCACTTTCCCAAATGCAGTCCAGCCCATTCTCTTCCTCCTGTCCAATTCTTAGTTCAGTTTATTATCCACCTGAAATGTACATCCAAGATATATGTGCTAGATGTCAACCCAACTGCACAACATGGCCCAAATAATAAATGTTCTTCATCTACTTAGATTTTCCAGTGTAGATGACTAGGCTAAGCCCTTCTGAGTAATTATGAATTTCATTTTTTATTTTTAAATTTTTTTCAATTAATGAAAATGCACCTCTCTTCACCTACCCCACCCCCCCACTGAAAAAGAAAGAAAAACAAAATCCTCATAATAAATATGCATATTTGAGTAATACAAGTTCCTTCATTGGCTATGTATGGACCTCATTTAAGAGGCTTTGGAGTATTCAGAAGCTCGTTACAATCAATACAATGCCTTGTACAAATAAGAGTATCCAAAGGACCTCATCATCAGTAAGTAATTCCTCTTCTGTCTAGTCTGTGCTAGATACCTTCCATAATGGTGTCAAAAATGTTTGGTGAGCATGAGTGACTGACTCTCTTTGTTATGCTTTATTAAATATTAATAATCAGAGGATCATCAAACAATGAAATCTCAATTGTTGTTACGTTTATTAAAAGATCTTGTTGTTTCCACCTCTATAGTATTTCTCCCATTGGTCCCTTTCTTTCTACTCCCATGGCTACCACCTGATGTTGTCCATCATTATCTCTCACCTGGACTACTTCAATAACTTCCTAATTGGTCTCCCTACCTTAGGTCTCTCCCTTCTCCAATACACACTGCACATGGCTGTCAAAAGACCCCATGCTTGGCAAATGCATTTCCTTCATACCTCCACCTCTTAAAAACCTGTTTCCTTCAAAAGGGAAGAAAGATTTTATATACCACAGTTCAACTCAAGAATTCACATTTTACATGAGGTCTATCCAGCCCCTCTCAATCTGCTAGTACCTTTCCCCAAAAAACTTACCATTTATTTATGAACTTATTTTGTTTATACAAATAGGGACACGTACATATTGTCTCATTTAGAATGTAAGTTACTTGGAGGATTGTCTTTGAATCTCTGGTATCTAGTACAGAGCCTGGCACATAAAAGGAACTTAACACATGATTGTTTGATATTGCATAGACTTAACATATGCATTGCAAATATCTTATTGGAAAAGAGCCTTTAGGACTTCATTTTGTTCTACTATAACAAATGCACATAGTAACCCCTTAATAAATGTTCACTGATTGACTGATTAATCAATAAACCTAGTAAGACATTGTATTCTGTAAAACATGCAATCATTTGTGTGACTACAAAGATGTTATCTGTACAATGTCACATAGGAAAGAATAGCTGTTCCACTCTCCTATTTTTATCAAGGATGCTTTTGATATGTGTATAGATCATTCTCATAAAGATCTGGAGAGATGCTAAAGTAGGCACATGGGCAATAGTTGTTGTATAGGCATATAGGCAATAGTTATTGATTTCTTCATTGATTCTTTCAGTAGTAATTTTTCCAGGCATTTGATATCTTCCTCTCTATCATGTCTTGAAAATTATTCTTTCAGTACCCCCAAAGTTGTGTTACCTCCAGCACAGGCTTCCTCTGTGCATGATTGGTATGAACTGGGAATAAGAATTGTTATGTCTTTCTCTTTGGAAACAGACCAAACTCACTGGCATGTTTTCTGTTGTTGTGATTATCCTACAATTCTTAAACTTTCATAGAAAATGATACAAGGTGATGGTCTGTGTCAATGTTCCTTTATCCATTTCCCATTTTTTCAGAATCAGTAGTTTGCTTGAATATATCAGATTATTTTAAGATCACACCACACAGCTCAAACAAGCTGGTGAGATCCAATTGTTAAATTTACATTATGGAATTTATACCTGCCAATCAGCACATGCTACAGATCAGGGCTTGATTTATTGTTTTATTGATTGTTTGGACTTAAGAAAGTGATAGAGAAAATACTAGTCATGCAGATTAAACTTAAAAGTATATTGTGTGTCCATTTCTTTTCTTCAGAGACCCAGCAGTCAGACATTTATCAGCACATCGCTGATGCCGTACTTTTTTCTCATCTTTATTCTTTTTACAATTTCACATTGATATTGATATTTGCTCTAACAAATGCATGTTCTACTTATAAGCAGGCAATTGAGTAACAGCTCAGATCAGCAACCCAGTTATTTCTTATCTATTAAAGGACTTATATTTTTGGTTGCTCTCTATTCACTATGTTCACTTCTTGGACAAAAAAAAACTATTTATGCTACTTGGTAGGGGGTCACTTATGATAATAATATGTAATTCTTTGCACCTTCTCACTCCCTTTCCCCCCACTCTGCCACTGTCACTGCACTAGTGGAAAGAGCTGCACAGGACTAAGATACCTTTTCTATTTTTCTTTGTTTCATGGGTTGCCATTAGCAAAACAAAAACAACAACAACAACAAAATGAATCGCCTAATGGTCAGTCTAATAGTGATGAGTACTTAATTATCCTGGCCGGTGGAAAGCAAATGTTGTCTATTCTGGGACTACACTTGAAGCCTGTTTAGCCTAGAGGACCTGACAAAGTACCATCCCCTCTAGCAGAGCATTTAAAACCTTTGAAATTCGTGGAGAAATCTCAGTTGCACCTGCTGTCACTTATATAGTATTTTAAGGTTTGCAAAGAGCTTTACATATGTCATTTCATCTGATCTTCCTGACAACCCTGGGAAGCAGGTACTGTTATTACCCCAATTTTACAGATTAGGAAATTGAGACTGAGAAGTCAGGTGACTTGCCCTAAGTCATACATCTAGGAAATGTCTGAGGCAGGATTTGTACACTGGTCTTCCTGACTCCAGGACCAGAGACCCATCCACACTGCACCACACCATGCTCTGTTAGTGGTGTTTCCAAAGTACAGTTGTCCGGGGATTTTTGTTCTGGCATAGGTTTGAACTAAATGCTCTCAGGTCTCTTTCAGCTCTTGTTATTTTAAGATTCTGTAATTTTAAGAATCATATACATTTCCATTTTTGCCTTTGGTGTGAAGAATAAGTAAAACATTTTAAATTATTTCCCCCTTATTAATGACTACATTGCTACCCACAGGAATGAAACCAGGAAGCCTCTCTTTGGAAAAGTCTTGCCCCTTGGTGTCAGGCTGTGGATAATTTCTCATTATTCACTTTTCAGAAAGTGCTGCTGATGACCTTAGTCAAGTTTTTTTTTGCTCTAGCTCAGAAACTCTTCGAGCTTATCCTGTCTTAGAAAGGGATGGGGGAAATGGGCCTGGGGAAGTTATCAAAATCTATGAATCTGTTAATGTAAAGAAAAGGCTATCTACCCTTCTATCCCCGTTTGTAGGAAATCCAAATATTTACTCCAGGAAATGCAAGAGAAAGACAGGTCAGTTCAGGTCAGTCAGGTATTCCCATTGAGTGGGAAGAGCTGAACTGCCAACGTTGCTTTTAATAACACCCTAGAAGAGGCAGGCAGCCCAGTCTAGATTAACCTTTAGGGCATCTTTCTCCCCTGCTGTTCACATGGCTGAATAACAGGCAGGTAATGTTAAGTCCAGGCTTTATAGAATGGTGCAGTCTCTGTGTGTAGTGTATCTTTCCACAAAACTCCCATTGCTTTGGGGATAGTTTGCTTCATTAAATCTTCGAGTCTTTTTGTTGTTGCTTCAGGTCATCTACTGAACTCATTAGAGGCAAAATAACTGAATAAGAAAGTGTTCTGGGCCAGGCCTATCTCGTTCAGTCCAGTGGTTCAGGCTCAGGAATAAAATGCAAGAAGACATTTGGCCATAAAATATTTAACAGAGAGAAGTTTACTTAACCATAAGAAAGGATCAATAAAGATGCCACATTGTTATAGTTGGATAAGGCTTCCCTTTGTTTTCTGTACTTGTCACAGCAAAAAAATAAAAAAAATACCTAATCGGAGAGGTATATTGGCTCTCAGAGTAGTGGGAATTCCACATGTCTAAGAAGCCGCAACTCCTCATAGGTTGGGTTTTTATACCTCAGGTAGCCAGGATGCCATTCTATTGGCTCAATCCCTAATCCTCCAGACCATTCGAGTCCCAAAGATGACTGCCTTGCCACTTTAAATAGAAATCAGCCTAACTAATGTAAAATAGATGTCACTAACACTACAGGGGGATTGACGATATCATAGTCAAACCAAGCACATCATAATTAGCCTACATAAGATAACAAGTTGAAAACTGGAACTGAGAAACACTAAATTCCTTTTCTTTCTGTGTCAGGTGGAGTTTGCACCAGATATTGGTCTTCAATACAAAGGAGAGCTGACTGTGGTCTTACGCTACATTCCCCCTGAGAATAACCTAATGCTCCCACTCGAACAGCTTCAAGGTGAGATCAAATTTGGTTATATTCACCAGCTATGCTGTTTTCTGAAAGCTTACAGATAAACTTCAAGGATTATTCTAAATGCTTTCTGCATCATTCACATAAGCTGTCTGGATAATGAAATAACTATATTCATTTGCAGAGGAGAGTTGGGGGAGATAACTATTATGAGAAAAAGACAGACCTTTTATCTCGTTTGACATTTTCAAAACTGTGATAGTGAACTTTTGACACATCAGTTCTTGGGTTATAGCAAATAACCATGGACTTCAACTTAGGAAACCTCAGCTGCTACAAGAACCATCTAATTTAGATCATGCCAGTGACTCAGGGATGCTCAGTGGGTGCTAAGGAGCAGCATCAACATAATATCACATACAAGATTAGTGAATTCAAGACTAGAACCCAGGCCTCCTGATTCTGGGTTCAGTTTGCACAGGCAACTCCCCTCCCTGTTTCCATACTTACAGATATTCTACTTCCACCACTGTCCTCATTAAAGAGTAATTTGCCTCAGGTTACAACCTTAGAGGTGGTTCTTGGTTACCAGTCAGTCAATAAGCACTTAGCATAGTTCTTGGCACATAGTAGGTGCTTTATAAACTCAATTTAAAAAAAAGAATGTTAATAGTAAAAAATAAATCTAAACCCAAAAAAAGGATTTTTTTAATATTTTTGTATTTTTTTAATCAGAAAAAAAGAGGATCCAAAGAACTTTTAAGATAGATGAATCCTTAAAAACAATCTGCTCCAATTCCTTCATTTTACAAAGGAGGGAACTCAGAACAAATGACTTGCTAAAAATTCTACAAATGATTAGTGGAAGAAGTCAAGGCTAGAACCTAGGTCTCCTGTCTCCTGGTTCAGTTTTCACTCTACTGTGATAGATTTATCTAGGTGTAACAGATCTTTTCAAGAGAGGTAACCTTAAGAGTCAGTGGATAGCCATTTAATTCTTTGTCAGTGAGCATCAAAGATGAAGAGGTGATCCTGAAGATGAGGCCTATTTCTTTGTTTTAGACTTTCTCCAGTGAATCAGTGAAGGGCTACAGTTGAGTCCTTTTTGTCGTGATTAGCAATCTTGATGTCATTAAGTTTACTGCCTTGCTATTACCCCAGTGCATAGCCATGAGAGATCCTTAGTGACCTTGGAGGCACTAGACCGTATTTATTGGAAATAAGAAACTCTGGCATTTCATCTTATTACCTTCATTGTAGTTCCTGCATTGGACCATATTGGTGCCCACTCTCCAGTAAATGGGAAAGGCTGCTTGCCACCTACTGTATTTCTAAATGCTTATTGCTAGATCCTTATTAAGTTTTCTAATCAATCCATCAGCAAGCAATTATTAAGTACATCCTTTGTACCAGTCATTATTCTAAGTGCTAGAGGTTTAAAGACAAAAACAAAACAGTCTCTGCCCTCAAGGACCTTATAATTTACAGGTAGAAACAATATGTACATATGAGTATGTACAAAATTTATATGTACACATGTGAAGTAAATACAGAGTTATTTCAGGGTGGGACAGTGAGGCAGTAATAACAAGGAGGGAGTTTGCGCAAAGGGCACAGGAATAGGAGAGAGATTCCTCATGGATGAGCAAGGAGGCCAGTTTGGTTGGTCCTTATTATAATATATAATTCTGAAAAGTCAAGTTGGAGCCAAGGTGTGAGGGGCTTTAAATGTCAGAGAAGCTTTTATTTGATCCAAGAGGCAAGAATTTATTTGGAATTTATTGAGCAGGGTGATGACAGAGTCAGACCTGAGCTTTAAGAACACAGCTAGATCAAAAGATATGTGCAGTTTTATAGCCCTTTGGGCATAGTTCCAAAATGCTCTCCAGACTGGTTGGATCAGTTCATAACTCTACCAACAATGCATCAGTATGCCAACATTGATTATTTTCCTTTTTTGTTATATTAGCCAATTGATAGGTGTGCGGCATTACCTCAGAGTTGTTGTAATTTGCATTTCTCTAATCAATAGTGATTTTGAGCATTTTTTCAAAACTTAAAAAAAGTTAAGCACTGTTTTAACATGTAATTGGAGAAAAATTAAAATATTATTTTAAAAAAAAGAACATAGCAATTAATCCGGTTCTGCCCTTTGGAACAAGGTGAAATAGCTCTGTTTGTGACACAGCCTATTGAGTATTTGAGGATGGCTGTTATTTCCCTCTAAGTTTTCTAAACTTTCCCATTTTCTATACTTTCATACTATTCTGCAGTCTGAGGAAGGGATGTATCTGCTCATCCTTCATGGTAACTGTTCTCCTGTATTTTTAATTCCATTTCTACCTGCCTCCTCTTGGGCCCTCATTTTAGGATTATCCTTACCCTTTCAAATATGAGGGTTAGTATGGTTTAATGGAAAAACCTCTGGCCATGGAGTCAGAAGGGCAGAGTTGGAGTTCTGGCTCTATTTCTTACTACCTGTGTGATCTTGGCTAAATCCCTTAACCTCTCTGTGCTCCAGTTTCCTCATATAAAAAACTAGGGGCTTGAACTACATGATTTCTGAGGTCACTTCCAATTCTAGATCATTGGATCCTAGATATTACATGAAGTGACAGAAATGTTTTTGTTTCCATTTTCTTCAAACAAAAATTCACAGTTTTTAGAAGGCTCGGACACAGCAATCGTTCCTAAACATAAAGATGGTCTCTTTATATCTATCTCTACGTGTACAGCTAAGTCCTAATTAGTTCTAGTGGTGAGTCCTTTGCCTCCTTTGCATTTTCTCTGCATATATCCAATGGACTGGAACCAAAGACCGTGTTTTAAATAATTGTAACTTTGGAAAGTGTGAATTCAAATTCATGCAGCCCCTTTGAAGGTTTCGTTACTCTCAGTAATCAGGATCTATCTATAAATGTATGGAAGTGTGTGTGTTCTATGTTTACCTCTTTGAAGGTTTTCTTTTGCAATTTTGAAAAATGCTTTTTTGTAATGGTTGATATAGGAAAGAAGACCTTTAAAAAGGGAAAGAAGAAAGAGCCTTCTTTGCTCCCTGGGGGACAATTAGAAGTGCTGATCAAAGAAGCCAAAAATTTGACAGCAGTGAAGTCAGGAGGTACTTCAGACACTTTTGTGAAAGGGTAAGTCTAACACACACACACACACACACACACACACACATTTCAGGTGATCATTAAGTAAACAGTTATTCTGCATTTACTATGTGAGTAGTGAATAGAATGTTGGCCTCAGAGTCAGGAAGACCTGGATTCAAATCCTACCTCTGACTATATACTGTTTGTATGACCTGGGGTAAGTCACTTGACCTCTCAGTGCCACCAGGCACCTTTCTTAAGAGTATAAATTGCAAAACAGACATTGATTTCCATTAATGGGGGATTTTTCTCACTGATAATTCCCTATTCCAATATATGGTTTCCTTGCCCTCCTCCCCCCTCCAAAAAAGAATGTGCAACTGAAGGACATTGACAGATAAGGAAGGAAAGAAGGGAGGAAGGAAGGAAGGGAGGAAGGAAGGAAGGAAGGAAGGAAGGAAGGAAGGAAGGAAGGTAGGAAGGAAGAAAAAATTTATTAAATACCTACTACATGCCAGAAACTGTGCTAAGTGCTTTATAGATATTATCCCATTTGGTCTTTACAACAACTCAGGGAAGTAGGTGCTACTATTATCCCCATTTTGCAGATGAGGAGACTGAGGCAGTCAGAGGTTAAGTGACTTGCCCAGAGTCACCTAGTTAGTAACTGTCTGACACCAAATTTAAACTTAGGTCTTTCTGATTCCATGCCCAACACATTATCCATTGCACTAACTGCCTCTTTGAAGTATTTCTAATTAAGTGTATAATGAAATGCCATTGGTCCTTGTATTATTTCTCAACTCTGGCAATTAGATAGGAAAATCATTTAATCTCTATGAATCTTAGTTTCCTCATCTGTAAAATGAGGATAATAATGTTTATACCACATACTTCAATGAGTTTCTGTAAGCAAAGTATTTTGAGAAGCTTAAATACTATATATAAATATAAGCTATAATAATCTAATCTCACTGTTTCACAGGATGATGATGTGAATAGAGAGTTGACCTGAAAACCAAGAAAGCTTGGTTTCAAGTCACCTAACCTCTCAGTGCTCTCCAAGGTTATTAATTCTGGAGAGGATGCTGACCTGCATTAGGAGACAGAGAGAGAGAGAGAGAGAGAGAGAGAGAGTGTGTGTGTGTGTGTGTGTGTGTGTGTATCACATACACACATAAATATATACACATATACACCACGTATGTATGTGCATATATATGCATGTGAATATATACAAATGTATATGTGTATTATGTGTGTATATATGTATATGTGTGTGTGTGTGTGTGTGTGTGTGTATATATATATATACACACATATATACGTATACTCCCTATACTAATGAAATCACAAGTCTAGTCACATCCCTTCATGGAATCAAGGGGCACTTTGGCCTACGAGATAGAGAGATAGTCAGGAAAACATACATTCAAATCCCTCTTCTGATTCATACTAGCCACATGACTCTGGGAAAGTCACTTCCTCTGGGTATCTCTAGGCAACTCTCCCACCCATCACAAACAAACATTTATTAAGCATCTACTCCTATGTACCAGGAATTATGCTAGTTGCTATGGATTTAAATGTAAAAAACCTGAAACAATCCCTCTTCTTAGGGAGCTTACATTCTAATGCGGTAGACAACAACTACATATATAAGTATTTATAGAATAAATACACAGAGAATAAATATAGATTGGTTAGGGAGGGAGGGAAGTAGCAGTTGGAGTGATTGGGAAAGGCTTCACGTAGAAGGTGGTACTTGAAAAGTGATGTGAAGGAAGAAAGAGATTCTGTGAGACAGAGGTGGAAGAAGTGCATTCTGGACATGGGGGACGGCCAGCACAAAGAGATGAGATGGGGTGCCATTCGTGAGAAATGGAGAGAAGCCAGTTTGGCTGGATCACAGAGCATGAGAAGGGGAAGAAATACAGCAAGGTTGGAAAGATAGATTGGGACCAGTTTGTGATGGACTTTAAAAACCAAACAGAGTAGTTGATATTTTATTCTGGAGGCAATAGGGATCCACTGGAGTCTATTAAGTAAGAAAGTGACACGGTCAGATCTTCACTTGAGGAAAATCACTTTAGCAATTGTACGAAGGATAGACTGGCATGGGGGAAGACAATTAAGGGGCCATTTCAGTGATCTAGTTGAGAGAAGATCAGTGTCTAGTCGCCATGCCTGGAATGCTTTCCCTCCAAACCTGTTTCTTAGAATCCCTGTCTTCCTTTAAAACATTACAATCACTACTCTCTCCATGAGGTCTTCTTTGGTTACCCCAAATGCCGGTGCTAACCTCTGTAAAGGTACCCTCTATCTCCTCTGTATCTACCTTATAGGAACTGCTATTTTGTCTCCCCCTTTCAGATGTAAGTTCTGTGAGGGCAGAAGTAGTTTTAGCTTCTGCCTTGCATTTCTGTCATCTAGCTCGACATATATAGCAAGGAAATGCTTGTTGATTATTGGTTAATCTGCTATATGAATGGAAAGAAGGGATCGGATGCAACAAATGTTGTGGAGGTAGAAACAGTGAGATTTGACAATGATTGCATGTGTGGGATGAATGAGGGAGAGTGAAGAGTTGATGGTAAAGACAAGGTGGTGAGCTGGCAAGACAAGCACGGGGGTGCCTTGGGCCATAAGCTGACCATAAGTTACAGAGAAGTTGTTTTGGTAAGGCAGTTTCTTCACTAGGAGCTTCTTATCCCTATGCAATCATAAGACTGAGAAAAGAAAGACAGTAAGTAGGGATGCCAAGCACCACCTTAATATAGTATAAATTAGAATATTAGATGTGCATGTTTAGAACTTCTACCTCATAAAGGACTAGCCTTTAGTACAAGCTACTGTATTTTGGATCTTTTTTTTTTTTTGCAAAAATTGTTTAATCTGTTTGCAACATATTTCAATAATGATCATCTCCAGAGAGCTCAGGACTGGCAGATTATTCCTGTGGGATTTCATTTCATTACTGGGAAGAAGAGGAAGAGTGAATTTCTAAGTGTAGTGTATTTTTATTTCATTCAATTATCTTTAGATTCTGGCAACATGCAGTATGTATGCTCAGCATGTGTGACTTAGACTAGGGCCTTCTCCATTGTTTTGTTCAGGGAAATATTATGGGAAGACATTATGCAAAAGCTATCCCCAGACAGTCTGGCTCATCGTTTCCTTAGAATTCCTCCCAGGAACAACAGAGACTTAGAAAGAATTATAAAGACTTCCCAGAAAGCAGTCTGAGCAAAATTCCATGACAGCCTCTTACAGTAATTCACTCAATTTAAGCCAAGGGATCAAGATACAATTGCCTCAATGGTCCATGAAGGCTTTAGGAAGTTTTTCTTAAATCAAAAGTTGAATTTAGTCACAATGACTCCAAGCCATCAGTTAGGAAAATTCCTAACATCTAGACAGATGTTGGACCCTCTGCTTAACTTTACACTTATAGCTATCTTGAGTTAACCCTTGACCTTTTTGTGATCAAAGTTAAATCTAGTTTACTGGAAACATTTAGGGAAAGAAACAGTAACTTGTAGTATAATGTCCTGGACAAGCACCAGGAAGACAGCTGGGAAAAGAACTGGCCTTTTTGCAGGGAGATTCCTCTCAGCCCAAATCTGCTCTGAGGAGCCTATAATGGTGGCTCTCCTAGATATCTCCCTCCTCTGCCACAATGTAGTCCTATCTTTGCTCTTCAGGGGTAGGCTGGAATGCAATACTTGCTCTGTCTTCTCAAATGAGTATAGTTCTAACTAGCTTGGTAATTTATAGTTAACCACTGGGTGTGGCCAAATTTCCTCAGCCTATCTGAACAATTCTTGTGCAATGTCACTACAGGTCAAAAGACTTTTTTTCAGACATAGTCTAAAGTATAACAATTTCAGTTTGTGACTGAGATGGAAGCACAGATGGCACTCCTGGCTGTTGACATTGATGACCTAGGAGGCAAGAGTATCTGAAGGGACTTCCTCGTGTATATTAAAGTTGCCAGGAATGAGGGTAGGGTTGGAGTGAAGAGAAGTCTAAGTCAGGAGCTGACCTCTGAAGAAAAATGAGTATGACATCTCTCAAGAGAAAGGAGGATTTTATGGGTGAGATAGAGTAAATTCCAAAGGAGGAGACTTCCTAAACAATACTGGTTAAGGTGGAGAGGATCTAGAAGTAGCAGTGGGGAGTGCCAAATATGCCAACTGTTCTACCCAGCCCAAAGCGTCAGGAGATACGAGAGGGATGCTCAGTTTTGGAGAGGGGAACAAGGGCTAAGCTGTCTGTAGGAGAAAACCAGGTTTTAGCTAAGGTTGGAATTTGTTAACAGCAGAGCAATGGTTTTGGAGAATCTGGTAGGAAAAGAGAGAGAGCATTGGAGGGGAGGGCTGAACAGGACAGAGATGAGAGCATAGGGCCAGGTAGTGGGAAAAAGGGATTTTTTTTAGAAATGGAGGCTTTGAATCAGAGGGACTAAAGCAAGGGGGTCAAACTCATACAAGAGGACTGAAAAATTACTGAGTGCAGCCAGATCCAGATTAAAATATAATTGAAAGAGTTTTAACAAAATAAATAAAAACACAATATAACAGAGATGATGTTAATTTGTGTTTTTTTGTTGTTGTTGTTGTTGTTTGCTTTTTTGGAGAGGCAATCGGGGTTAAGTGATTTGCCCAGGATCACACTGCTAATAAGTGTCAAATATCTGAGGCCAGATTTAAACTCAGGTTCTCCTGACTCCAAGCCTGTATCTACTGTGCCACCTAGCTGCTCCAATTTTGTAGTTTTTTAAACCAATCTGTGGAGGTCAGGGATTCATTTCAATCTGAGCTTGACATGGCTAGAAAAGGTCATCAGGTAGGAATGTGCCAGCCATGTGACTGAGTAATAGCCAGTAGAGAGTAGTTTATAGACCGAACCTCTTATAATCATTGTTGGAATGAAAGAGCTTCTGGGTATTTTTCCAGGGGAAGAGATGACTGACAGTCACTACTCCAGGAGGCTCCTGAGATAAAGGATGCTTCTGCAGTCCTCTTCTCCAGATCTAGCCCCCTCAGGTACTTTCATTTGATCTCAGTGATGGAGTTAATTATGGCTAGACTTTTTCAAATCCTCTGAGGTTAGTTAAAAGCTGTGGGCCTAAAGGAAAAGTCAGGTGATCCCAAAGATACTCAATGCTTTCATTTCCTAAATGAGGCTCCAGTACTAGCCATATGACCAGTGAAGTACAAGTCTCAGGGAGTATCACAGCAATAATAATAAAATAACCACACCCTTACTATTTATACAGAGTGAAGCTTTATGTTTTAACAACTTAAAACTGCACCTAGATTTTTAGGACACTCTGTATGTGCATCGCACATGTACATCACACTTGAAGGCTTACAAAATACTTCCTTCACAATCCTCTGAGTCATATATTGTAAGCATTTTTATCACCAATTTGCAGAAGAGGAATTCTACTCAATTCAACAATCCTCTTACTAGAAAGTCAACCAAGTGAGCAAGGCACAGAAATAAAAATAACGCATTCGCTGCCCTCAGGGAGCTTAGATTCTGATTGGAAACTCCTAGATCATTCAGCCAGGATTTGTTATTCTAAACCCTAGTCTCCTGAATCCAGTCTAGTTTTAAGCCATTGTAGGAAAGAGAAAATATCTAATCTCCACAGTTCACAACCGTGCACAGGGTATCTCAAAGGTTTTTGTTACTGTTGTTCAGTCATGACTGACTCTTTGTGGCCCCATGTGAGATTTTCTTGGCAGAGATACTGGAGTGGTTTGCCATTTCCTTCTCCAGATACTGGAGCGGTTTGCCATTTCCTTCTCCAGATACTGGAGTGGTTTGCCATTTCCTTCTCCAGCTCATTTTACAAATGAGGAACTGAGGCAAACAGGGTGAAGTGACTTGCCCAGGGTCACACAGCTAGTAAGTGTCTGAAACCAGATTTGAACTCTTCCTGATTCCAGGTCTGACATTCTATCTACTGTACCACCTAGAGTCTGCTAATTAGCTTTTAATTTAATTTAACTGTTAATTGTTTTAATAGCTTCAGTTAAAGCTGAAAAATGCACTGAGATTTTTGGGATATTGTGTGTGTGTGTGCACATATGTGTATACATGTATATGCCTATATATATACATATTTGCATTATACAACTTGCATTACATATATATATATATTTGCATTATACTGTTAACTGAGATTACAATTCAAATATGCCATCCGTCTAAATTAATCTCAACCATTAAGAAGTTTCATCGTCTGAGGTCCCAAGGGCTTCCTTTTTGGAGATCAGACCTAGACAAGACCTGAATTCTACTCTTTCCCGGGATGGGAGTGCAGGGGACAGGGGAGAAAAGAAGCCTTGAACTTTTTTCCTCTGGTTGAAATGGGGACTTTAGTCCCATAACCACCCCCTTGTGGAAGTGAAGCATTTTTCCTCTTTATTTTGTGGGAGCCAGAATCTTCTTACAGTTGCCTTACCCCAGATGAGAAAGCCAGCATTAAAATATAGGATGCTAAAATATAGGAACTTAACCCAAGACACAGAACAGAAAGTTCTTCGCTTATATGTAAGAGAGTTTACTGACCAACAAGGTGGGGATGAAATGATATGCATCTTCCTATGAAAGATATGGATATTCTTAATTGGCATTTAGTTGGGAGGAAAAAGAACATATCCTGTACCTGGAGGGCTTAGCAGACTTTTGTCCAAGAGGGGACTGGCGGCCAATCCACCTCAGGGACTAAATTCCACTCTCAGCATTCTGTTCTCATCTTTCTATGGCCCCCCAAAATAAAATAAAATAACCACCATAAATATTAGAACCTGAATCACAACACATAGAGGTAGCAGAACCAACCAAGTTATTCCCAGTCCCTGATCCTCACTGGTGAGTGAGAATGCAGTCAACAAGTCTTCCAGTATTGGGAGATATCCTTAATTTCAGTAGAGTTGACGTTAAAGAAGAGATGTTAAAGAAGAGACACTTTGCTGCTGTACCCTAACAATCAAGGAATTTTTCTATCTGACTTGCAGCTGAAACCTTCCATATGTATTGTCTTCCCAATTTCAATATTACTTTTCTTTTTGTAACCCCAGTACTTAGTATAGTACTTTGTACAAAGTATGGGCAGCTAGGTAGCTCAAAGGATAGAGTGCTGGGCTTGGAGTCAGAAAGATTTATCTTCCTAAATTCAAATCTAGCCTCAGACATTTACTAAAGGTATAACCCTGGGCAAGTCATTTAATCCTGTTTGCCTCAGTTTCCTCATCTGTAAAATGAACTGGAGAAGGAAATGGCAAACCACTCCAGTATCTTTGCCAAGGAAACCCCAAATAGGATCACAAAGAGTTGGGCAGGGCTGAATAACAATTATACAGAGTAAGTGCTTAATATACGTTTTATTTATTCATTCAGTGGGCATGCCTGTATCCTCCCTAGGGAGGTGGCCTCCCTTTGGCTTGATTAAGTTGATTAGGGAACTCCTCTGATCAATTGTTTATAAATATAAAGGGTACAGTCTCATAGGTTAGGAAAATTAATTCAAAAATCATCCCACCCATCCCATCAAACCTGAGTTTTGTACTCTGGTAGAGGAAGGGAGAGGGAATGTTTCCCATTGGGACATTATAGAGAGGACCTAAACATCTCCTGCAGCATATAAATTTTATTATTATTTTTAAAATTTGTGTTACATAAATAATAAAGGAAATTATTCTTGCTTTGAAGAGCTAGTAAGTTTTCCGTAACTAGTTAGTCTTAGAAGTTAAGCTAATTTTTTTTAAAAAATCATGGTTTTAGATAAAAAGAAGAAAAGAGAGAGAGCATAACTTTTTTTGTGAGACGTCTTAGAGACACACAAAATAAAATCTGGTACAATCTAACTTTCTCCACAAGTTTAATCACCAATGTTTCCATTTTTTATGGAAGGAATAGATAGGAACAAGGTTGAAAAGGGGAAAAGAAGACATTTACTACCTACCTCTCCATCTCCAAGAAATAAGCCATTCTGCCAATTAAAATCCAAACTAAACTAGGCATTTGGAGACCAAAGGCTAGGTCAAAGTCAGAGCAGGGAAGGACAAGCATGAAAAAGACAATTAGTATGGGAATTCCAAATGACTAAAGACATACAGAATCCTCTCTCATCTGGTTAATTTTGTGATTTGCTTTTTCTCTTCCAGGTACCTGCTTCCCGATACCACCAAAGCCACCAAACACAAAACTCCTGTAATCAAAAAGAACGTTAATCCCCAGTGGAATCATACTTTCGTATTCAGTGGCCTGGATCCCCAGGATATCAAGAATGTTTGCCTAGAATTGACAGTCTGGGACAAAGAGGCTCTCTCCAGTAACATATTTCTTGGAGGCGTTCGATTAAACTCTGGCAGTGGTAAGTGACTGGTTAGGAATGGCCAGTTTCCTTATTCTGTTCCATGAGTTGGTATAGGATAGTGGAATGGTTGCCAGTTCTGTAATTCTGTAATCTGCCAGGATTTTAAGAAAGCTCCCTCCAGATTCTCTAAATGAAAATCTTGTCTTTGCCTGCTAATGTTGAAAGTTCCCTTAGGGCAGCACAGTTAGAGAGAAAATGTAAGGATAGGAGGGATGACTGGGGAGCTTAGCTGGGACCATGTACTAAAAACTGGTCCAGGATGATTCCACCCATGTTCATGCTAAGGGAAATGGCTCATCCGAGCTGAAGCAACCATGGTATGTATGGGAAGAAAGCCTAGTATTGCTTCTAGCTGAGCTATATATGGTGTCAACCAGAGAGAAAATGTGAAGAAGAAAGAGTAGGAGCAAGAGGTCAGGTGAAGAGATGGTGATGAGGAGTAGAGGTGGGGGGGGGGAAGGGGAGCACAAGGAATTAGGAAAGCATTGCTAGATATTTCTTCCTTGTCTCTATATGTATTTTTTTTTTGGACTGTGTGGTACCAAGAGTAAGAGGGCTAAATTGAGTGATTTAAGATTTAGACTTAGGTTTGAATGCCACCTCTGCAACTTACTGATTACATATGACTGGTTGGGTCACATTCTCCCATTTTAATCAGAAGTCTTGGTTTTGAATCCCACATCTGACACTACCTCCGTGACCCTGGATAAGTCACTTTACCTCTCAGTAGCCCAGTCTTCTCATTTATAAAATGAGGATGTTGGACTCAATAAGTCCTCTCTAATTGTCCAGCCATGATGCTTTGAGAGAAATGGCCTTGAACACAAATGGAGGAATCTTCATGAGCTATCTGTGTGGCTTATCACTGTATTATTGCCATATCTGAATACAGGTCATACCCAAAAAAGTCAGAACTAAGAATATGCAGGTGTTGAATAGAAGCTTTACCTGCTTCCAGTTCTACAATCCATTGTCCTTTTGGAAAGATGATCTAGAGCACAAATTGTAAATCTTGCCAAGGAAAGACTTTTTTTTCCTCTGAAAATTATACTAGTTCGGTAAAATAGCTGAGGTATTAAAAGTGGTATTAAAAGAAGACCATTGTATTCTGGCAATTAGACCTTTAGACTGACTGAGAAGTTACCCACTGGCACTCTGTGGAAGTTGACCCTCTTCCATTTTTCAGGTATGAGTCATGGAAAGGAGGTGGATTGGATGGATTCTCAGGGCAAAGAACAGCATCTCTGGCAGAAGATGGCAAACAGCCCTGGGGAGTCTGTCGAAGGGATATTGATGCTGAGATCTAGCATGGGAAAACGTAGACCCTAAGAGGAGATTGGTTCTGCCCAAAGATGAGTCTCCAGCTGCCAGCCTGGCATCTCTGGTCTCATAGTCTCCTGAAAATAGCGCATCTGATTCCAGCAATTCCATTCCACTGGCATTTTGCACTTACGGATATTGGGACAGATGGGGAAAGACTTCCACGTCCTGAATGTTTGGGTGTTTTTGTTGTGTGACTTACATAACCTATATATCTACATGTCCCCAAGCCAGCATCCTTTTCATGATCCTTTTGTCTGAACATCAAGCGCCCTCTTTTCATCCTGTATTGTTGAAGAGTAATTCATCCTTGGATTTCACACACTGGGAGATTCAAGGGAAATGGCGTAAGGTCATATGAAACTAGGGTATAGCTATCAGGTCCCCAACCCCTTCCTGATGAGAATCTAATCTTGATTTTCCCAAAGTCTTAGGATTACCTGAGGGTGGAAAGGCAAAGGCTACTGAATTTAACAGGCATGATTACTTAGGGAAGAAGCTGTTGACCACCTTCCGCTCTCCACTGAGTGTCCCCATGAAGTGAAAGCAGAGCTGGCAGCCCTTAAAAGGCTGAAGCTCAAAGTCTGACTGGTAGGTTGTGATGAACCTGGCACAAATATGTTTGCCATCTATACTAACCTCAAAGGAGCCTAAAATGATTCCCTCTATATGCCTCTGCCCTTTTGTTTACATTCACTTTCTGGCAGTGACTTCCATATTAAATGAAGAGAATCTTCAGTACCTCTTCTGCCCCACTATGGGACAGAACAAGCACAGATGTTTACCATGGTCTCTTCCCCCTCCTTCTGTAACTTAGAACCTTTGGACATTACCCCCAAGACAGATCCTATGAGGCCATCGTGGATTGATCAGGCATCAAACATGGTTGAATTATGGAGCTGTAGAGCAGGAAGGGACCTCTCTGGCCATCTGGTCCGTTTTACAGATGAGTAGTTCAGAAAGAGGAAACACAATGAGGCAGAGGCAGAGGAGGAACCAGAACCCTGGGACAAAGGACAGTCCAGAGCTTTCCCCACTATCCCAACTGGCATCACAGAATGATTCCCAGGAGGTACAGAAGTAGGACACCAAGAAGGTAGGTGGGTGAGTCCTGAACAGACATGAATATCAGTATCTTCAGAAGTCTTCACATGCCTCCTCTTTTCACCTTTGCATTCAACACCATGCAAGCTTCTTTAAGTGCAGAGACTATTTCATTTTGTCCTCATTTCCCAACATCTACACATTGGGCCTGACACATAGTAGATGGTAAATAAATACATGTTGATTGTTTGATTAATCTGTCCAGTTTGGTGGAGAGGGCTGGTAGGGGAAGGGAATAAACATTTACTAAGTGTCTACATTGTGCCAGGCTGTGCTAAGCACTTTACAAATATTATTTCATTTAATCCTCACAACAGTCCTAGGAGATAGGTGCTGTTACTACTCCCATTTTACAGTTGAGAAAACTGAGGCAAACAGAGGTTAAGTGACTTGCCCAGGAGAACACAGAAAATGTCTGAGGCTCAATTTGGACTTTGATCTTCCCTATTCCAGGCCCAGCACTCTGTCCCCTATGCCACCTAGGTGGTGCCTTACATGAAGTAATGTAGAGTTCTTATGCCTTGTGGCAATAGGGATATTCAAAAATACAGATAGAGAATTTTAGGAAGGCATGATAGTTGCAAAATACAGGGATCTATTTTGTAGAGTGAGAAATGTATTAACAAAGAGGATGAAAATGAAAAATGTGCATGAAGACCAGCTAATCAGAGTCCTTGTTTATTCTGTGGTTAGTACTAGGAATCTAAGTTCTCTGAGGGATACTTTTGTGCTAAGTATTTTTCCTCAGCATAGAGAATGAGGAGGAGTGTGTGAAAGTGCGTAGATGGCTTGACCTTGGAGTCGTGAAGACCTGAGTTCATGTCCTGATTGTGACATCCAATGGCTGTTAGAGTGTGACCAAAGCAAGACACTGAAGCAGTGCCCCAGGCCATTTTCCAAAACTATAAATTATAAAGAAGTTTACCAATCTGCATAGGTGGAAAGAGTGTTCATACCAGGAGTTCTCTACCCTGGACAACTTACAAGTCTGGACCAAAGAAAAGCACTCACGGATTGTCTTAATACATATGAAAGGTGTGTGTGTGTGTGTGTGTGTGTGTGTGTGTGTGTGTGTGTGTGACATCATGAGAAAAGATTTCCTTTCCCTGATACAACTTCAGCAAAAGCAGTGCTTGTCCAACAGAAAAAGAACTAGCTTAAGTGTCAAGATACCAAGGTTCTAGTCCCACCTCTGCCTAGCTGGCAAGACAGTCAAGTCACACCATTCTTTTCCCTCAGTTTGCTTACCTTTATAATGGAAAGAATAATACCTGCTTTTCCTTTGTTGGACTCTGATGGCTATGAAGGTGCTTCAAAAAGCCACTCTGCGTGTAAGGCAGCATCATTAGGAGGTATGGCATTTGGTAAAGACTAGAATGATTGTCAGACCCACTCCAAAAAGTTATTTAATCTTCATGTTCCTGATTCAACCTTGAGAATATATTTAAGAAAGTAATATTTATGACAATAAGGTCCTGAACAACATTATCTAAGGACGTATCTCTTGCTTCTGGAAGACAGAAGCCAGCCTGCCCAACCTCTAGTTAGCTCACATCCCTACCTTTTCATTAAAACAAAACATTGCAAAGGAAATCTATTCATTAATTTCCATATAAGGAAGAGTGATAAAGATGAGTGGCCTTCAGATCTGATCAAAGTTACGTAGTTTATACTGGAATTTTTAGAATGGGATGGAATCTGCTGGTTGGTAGACTACTTCAAATTATGTAAATGAATTATCTCATTTTATAGGAATAGAAGGAGGCAGCTAGGTGGCTCAGTGGATAGAGAGATAGGCCTGGAGTCAGGAAGACTTGAGTTCAAATCTGGCCTCACACATTTACTAGCTGTGTGACCCTGGGCAAGTCACTTTATCTCTGTTTGCCTTAATCCCCTGGAGAAGGAAATGGCAAACCACTCCAGCATGTTTGCCAAGAAAACCCCACGGACCAGGATGATGAGGAGTCAGACATGACTGAACAGCAACATAGGAAAAGGAAAAGGGTTCACTGTGAAATGCATGTGTTAATATTACTTTCTCAGCTTCTCATACCTCTGTAGCAAGTGGGCAGGGAACTTCAAAATTTTAACTAAGCCCACAAGAAAGCTTTGTGAGTAATCAGCCATAGCCACAAGTGGAGACGTTTCTGTATTGTGACATTTATAAAATCTCACTCACTAGGTTTCTCTGTGAGATGAAAATTGGGCATTTTAAAGTTAATAAAGTACTAATGCCTACTACTAGGCATTGTACTAGGCACTACAAATACAAATAAAAATGAAAGTCTTTAGGGACTTATCTTAGAGAAGGGGAGACAAAGGAGGACAGGATCAAAATGTATCAGAGCTGGGAAGGGTTTTAGTCATCTAATTCAGTCCCCTCATTTTACAGATGAAGATAGTGGAGTCCTGGGAGATTAAGCAATTTGTCTTAACATTGCAAGATTCCAACACAGATACTCTGCTACTCCAGTGACTCCCGGTGCCTCCCATCAGGCTCTATTTTTTGGACGTAATTGACAGATTGATCTTCAAGATCTATGGTAGTATTCATGGTTCCCAAATATTTTTAAAGACAAACAGTGCTGAAGACAGTTGACAAATGTAAAGAATAGAAATGACCTATTTTAATGGAATATTAGATTAGATATGAAAGGCAATATGGTGTAGTGGGAAGAAAGCCAGCCTGGGAGTTGGGAAGAAGAACTGGGATCAAGGTCCCCTTCTGACAGTTACTGGCTCTATGGCCCTGGGCAAATCATGTAACCTCTCCAAATGGCACTTCTATTTGGGGGCCGTCTCTAGCGTCCTGATCTATATCTTGCCACTGGACCCAGATGGCTCCAGAGGAGAAAGTAAGGCTGGTGACCTTGCATAGCCCTCCCTCACTTAAATCCAATTCATTTGCAAGTCATGGCATCATCTTCCTGATGTCATGGTCTTCTTCAAGAATGAAGGACAAAAAAACAACATGTAACTTCTCAATAACACAGACAATTCTTTAAGACCACGAGCTATAAACCAGTGGCTGATCTGCATTGGAGGAAGAAGTTTCCTTAACAGAAGTTCCTAAACTATCGAAATCACAAGTTCATGGGGCAGCTGATTTGCATAGAGCACCAACCCTGCAGTCAGGAGGACCTGAGTTCAAATCTGACCTCAGACACATAACACTTACTAGCTGTGTGACCCTGGGCAAGTCACTTAACCCCATTGCCTAGCCAAAAGAAAAATCACAAGTCCAGATCACCCCACCCAAATTAGATTTTGAACCTAAACCTTTTATCTGTTCTTAGGAAGGCATATAACTAGACCATAGGATCTACAGTTGAAAGGTACCCCAGAAACCATCTAGTTCAAATCCCTAGTTTCACAGATGAGGAAACTGAAGTGACTTGTCCGTGGTGATATAGGGACTTAGCATTAGAAGGGTCATTTGAACCCAGGTCCTTTCATTCCCCAGGCAGGACTAATTCCACCGTGCTACCAGGCTGCCCCCTCTGTAAGTTACTGTAAGATCAGATCATGACATCTGGCATTTTCATGAGTAAAATCTAAATAAGCTTCTTAATACAGTGCATCAGACTCCTAGAAGTAGAATTATGGCAGAGATGCCCTGAGGCTTGTTTTGAAATTGTGTACTCCTTCCTTTTTTTTTTTTTTGCTCCCTTTTCATACTGAATCAATCAATCAGTGAGCAAGTATTTATGAATCAGACAGACCTACTGAAGAGCAATCAGGTTAAAGGGGATGTTGTCAGATTTAAAAGCATATTTTTTCCAAATGTCCTTTCTGATAACTTAGAATCACCTTATTAAACTTGGAAGCATTGTTTTAAAAGGAAGGCACCACTTCACAACGTATGCTATTTCTATTATCCAGATTGTCCCTTTGAATTTCATGTCACCATAAACATTAAAAACAAAGACATATTTTGAAAATCAAATCTGATTCCTTCAACCTCTTTTTCCACTAAAAAAAGAACACATGAAATATGTGACCCACCAACCCTTAATTGCTATTTGACTGAATGAATAAATCCCAAGTCTGACTCATTCACAGTAAAGTCAATTTTTAGCCAAAATATCTATGTCAAGACCTGCTTGGATTTAGTGGTAAAGGGAAAGACCATAGAAGAAATACAAATGGTCTTCGGCTTTAAGTGAAATATGGTCCTGGAGCCTGCATTTTAAAACATGCTGTCCTAATGCAGGACCTTGATCATGCAGCTGCTTTTGAAAGTAGCAAGAAAACGGATGTACATCCATTTTATCAGGCAATACCAAGTAAACAGAGTTATGAACATGAATCATTGAAAAGTGCAGACCACTTGTACAGCTAGGTATGAGCTAAATGTGTGTGCTGTGTGATGGAAAGGTGGCAGTACATGAAAGAACCCTGACTTTGGTTAAAAAGCTTTGTGACGATGAAGAAGTAATCATAATCGACCACTTGTTAAACAACAAATTTTAACCTTAGTCATCACTGAAATTTGTTATTGTGCTTGACCTAATAATGATTCACATTGCTGAAAGTGTTTCACTTGATGAAAGGGCAAATGTGACAAAAGTATCTGAGAAGAACGTGGTTATTGAAAATGTTCTCTTCTAAATTTTATACTGACTGTGTGACCTCAACAAAATCATGATCCCTCTGTCCACCTCAGTCCTCTGTCTTTACTTGATGGACATTTATTTCCCTAAGAACACGAAAGCTGTTATATGTTCTGAGGAGGAACATTGTTTAGATGAATGATTTCCATCTTAAAGCTGCAGACACAGCTAGAAAGTGATCCATCTAGCCACGAATAGAAAAAGTTGAAAAGTTACAATGACTGGCTTCTAGCAACATAGAACAGTGAGAGATTTCAAGAAAACCCAACATCTCAATATCTATCTCTGGAATAACTGTGGAAATGTTACCAACATACATACATACATAGAAAGAGAAAAAGGAAATTAAAAAAAAACTTGTAAAAGTCTCTCAAAACAGGGAAAGTAACAAAGAAATAAACAAAAGAAATTCCAATTAGATGGATAAATACTTTGCAACAAAATAAACAAAAGCAAAGATTCCAGATGGAAAATAGAATTTATTAATATCAACAATGGCCTATAAAAACTAAAATTATTTAAAGGTACATTAATATAAGTATATGCACACTGAAGTAAAGAAAGAAAAATAAAATTGCAAATAAAATTCAATAACC